CAGGGCCATCCTTTTTTTCTTAATCTCCTCATCTACCTGTCACCAGTGCCATGAATAAAATAAAGTCATTTCTTGTGTAGTAGTATAATTTAATCCTGATTATACATCGAAGCCAACGCTGTTGTGCACAGTTCAACCTTAGTTCTTGCTCTTTCGTTCGAACAAGTGTTTCTATACCGTGCAACGACACATAACCTGACCGAGGCAAGTTAAGGGCAGAAAAATGTCTCTTTTCTCGGCCCAAATATTCAGCAGGTTTCCAAAAGCGTTACTGGGTAGGGCGCTCCTCATATTTAATTCTGACTGGATGGTACCCTCGTTGCAGAAAATGCAGCCGAGATATTTACACCGGTCAACTCATGAAGGGCAGTTTCCCTTTCTACTTGTAGGTCATCTTTTTAGGATTGGTTCCTCATAGCTTTGACTTATGGGTGTTAAGAAAGGCCGACTTTCGCAGCTGTGTTGCAAGCGGAAGCTGTTGAGTGACAGAACCCACTTCCGTACTGCTGATCTGAACAATATCGTCGGTGTACTACAGATCAGCGGGATATTTAACCGGATTTTTTTAATGGCAGCTACCCTCGGAATGGCCACTTCATTCTTGCTAGGGTCAGCACTTTTTTGGGAGCAGTGTTAAATAGCACAGGAGAAAACATTTCCATGGCTAATAGTGAACCCCTATTTTTGGACTGTAACATCTGGCACTGTTCGTTCATGCATCTCTTCCAAAATGTAAACGATGTGGTCACTTATTCCGTAGCATTTAAAGATTTTCCACTTCGTCGAACGATGTAGTGAATCAAATGCAACCATTAAGTGAGGAAACTGGCAAAGTAAGGCAACTTAATCCGTCGCCATTGCTCAGTAATCTTACACGGAGTGAAAATTTGGTCGAGGCAGGAATAACCCATTTCGGAGCCTGCTTGATTTGGATGAAGTCGGCCAGCAGTTTCCTGCCTCAATCTTCCAGGATAATCCAGGAGAAAGGTTTCCCGATAATTGGCAGTAGTTGATGCAACAATAATTGAGATACCACGAACCCGGAAATTCTTCCGGTCTATTGTTGTTGACTCCTATTAATGGATACTGTTTTTATTGTCGACCTGTTTAACGTTTTGTCGACGTCTTAATGCAAACTTATATCTATTGGTAGTGAATCCACCTTTATTTATGAAACTGTTTTTGAGGGTATAGTGTGTTTTCTGCTGGTTTAGAGCTACGCCATATCCTTGCGCCCATATCGTACGTAATCGATACACTGTCTACTTCTGTATCGGCCTTTGTGGTTAATGATTTTATCAAAAGAATTGTGGCAAACGCGGCGTGGTGTCGCAAAGCTGTTAATCGAGCTGGCCTTCGGCCATATTTCTAATATTACTCTTACACTGCTTCTGTTTTACAGTTTTGAAATTTTTATCACTAGTAAGACATAAACATACACATAGACTCGCGTCTATTCATCTTAGAGCCATGTACGAAAAATTTATGTTTTTTCCCATAACCAAGGCGACAAGCTTCTTATCCTTCGAGGGACTGGTCTTCGTACGAAAGAAACGAAGCATTGTTTGTATCCTTTGGTATGTTGCTCTTCCATAAACTTCAGAAATGCCTGTTTCTTTTTTCACGTAGCTTTTAGTGTGGCACCGACTCTACCGCTTTTAAGTAGCTAAGGGTAATAGGTAGTTAAGGGTAATATGCTCATGTTCGCTTCCCCTTAGCGTGTGATTCTTTCTGTTCGTCATGCGGGCTGCTTTCGATGGCGTAAAACGAAGTTCGGTCTTCTAGAGACCAGCTGCAAGATGTTTTGGTAAATTTCAATCAAAGTAACATTACACAGGATTGTTCATTTAGCTTTCTGACACATGTCTTGTTGTGCAGTAAGCTTGAAACTTGACAGACGCCTCGCTGGCCTCGGCAATGATCTGATTTGTGAACGGCTTTTTGTCATATTCGTGTCTGACTGCCGACTGTGAGTAGTGGAGGCATCGGAATGAAGTTGTTGATAGATTTCGGCCCGAAAGAGTTTTTCCACCGCTTCCGTGAATCCAATAGGATGTTACATGTTTCGAAAGGCGGTGTCGAGTCTTCAACGATGAATTCGTGCCACAACAGCTAGCTTCGCTTTATTTATTCCTGTGGCTTTAGTAGCGTTAGCTGGTGGCCGCCGGAGGATTCAATGTCACCTGCCACCGGCGTCGGAGTCAAAAAGTCTGCATGCTGCACAGGTGTTCTTCAGATGCCCCGACGATGCTTGTCGACGTTGTCGCGCTTGCATGAGGACCTTAGTTGAGGCTGCAGTTGCGACGAGAGCCGATGACAGCCACTACTACTGGCCTCCTGTCTGCTCGCGACGTGGCTGTGAGCGCAGCGCTTTTTTGGGAGTGTTTTTTACTCGCCTTCCGCCGCTGTGCGCTGCTTGGTTCGTCTAATCAACACCCCTTCTTCCTCCAGTCGCTTGCCGGATCGCTAGCTGCTTGATTTGTGTGCCCGTCAGACTCCTCTGCGGCCCCCGAGCAAAGAAGGCCTATTTCTTGTACTGCAGCGAGGATACGATCAAAGTAAACAACGAATATTCTTCAACCTGCTTCTTTCGTTTCGGCTCCTCCGCGGTTCGTCGAAGCCTCTTGTTCTGCTTTTTTGAATTCTTCGCAGCATATCCTATCCATCGTTGTTTATTTGCTCCAACCATCCACAAGCTAACTTAACAGATTTGCATTACTTAATCACAGTTCTTTCTTGTTTCCATAGTTCTTTGCGTTGTGCTTTCCCTTGCGAAGAGAAATGCGATGATGATTACGAATCAGGTTTTCATTTACCTTTATGATTAGAAACATCAGTGGCTGTTTTAGCACAGCGCACCGCTTAGCGAGGACAGATTTTTATGACGGAAATAAATCTTTGTTTTGGTTATGATGTCGTTTAAGGTAAGCTACGTTTTCGCTCTGTTTTGGTTATGATTACTAACCCGACAACAAAGTATTCATTTAACTGTCCGCCGACAGGTTTTGCATTGTTACTTAACTGTACTTAAAATTTGCCCGATGTTTTGGCGGAATAAGGAAATTCCTTAATGGAAATCATGTGCTGTCACTTAATCCGTGCATGCGTTACGTACCCATATCGTCGTTTCCGTCTGTCTGACGAAAAATGCGTTCATACTGTGTTGCGAAACACTTAAATCCTATAGTGATTGGAGCATTTGAAGGCCGATGGCATAGTGGTAGGGGACCGGCTTCAAATTCCCGAGTTGCCGAGCTCGAATTCTGAAGAAATTATCTTAATCACTAATTGCTTTGAGCAAAGAAATCTTCCCACGTTGTTTCGATGAAGTCGAGGTACGAGTAACAAGAAACTGACCTCATGATGTTCTGATGTGGTCAAGCCAGAATCGGTGAGAAATGACGCTTATTTATCTTTCATAAGCGCCTTCTTAGGTTCAATTTTTGATCCACCAGATCGTTGGCTATCCGCTCAGTAGGGTGGTTGTATTTCACATCGTCCCTTCTTTTTGATGTATTTGACTTAAGGCCGGTCGAGCTGTAGCAACTTAATTTTTGACGCTCGTTCGGCTGGTCGGTAAAAGGTGTGGCGGATAAAATTTGCGTGCGAACATCTCTGGTTACTCGCCAGTAGCGAGTACCACTTGTTATTATTGTCGCCACTGTTAAAGTGTAGCAGGTGTAGAGTAGCAGAATAAACCACATTTATTATATCTAGTCTTTGGAGATGGTATCTCAGATTAATATTGGGCAACGTTTACTGCTCCTGCAAAGGTCATGTTCCTCGTCGCCAGGTGTTCTGCCTCAACCACGAGTTTCGAGTTATTGCGAATACTAGTAGTACCGATAGTATGGCTGATGCTTCCGCCGTGGTAGTATTTCTACGGATCCCTGTAGTATGGAACAATTATGTAGTACTCTGCTACTCTCCATAAGCACTGACTTCTACGTTGCTATAGTACCGACATTATTAAAGTTACTACAGCTACTACATCATGTACTGTATGTTTATACACTGCAAGGATAGTGCATTATCTAAACACTAATAAAAGCTTTAATGCTGTTGTGGTTAATCCGCTAATGAGAGTACCGTCATTCTGCTGTTGTTTCTATTCACTGTCATTACAGAACAGGTGATAAGTTTAGCGACAACAGAAGTGTTAAGTTAGTTTTTTGTTATGTACGCATAGAACTCTCTTAAGTTCAGTACGGATAGTTATAGCAGTAGTTCAGTGTTTTCCTCTCCACTGTTTGATTTACTGTAATATTGTCGTATGACCCAATGCGATTTTACGAATGGTAGTGACTTTTCGCCATTGTAGAGATTCTAATAACACTCAGTAAGCCTTACTCTCTATCTGTGGGCTTGATAACAAAATACCTCGTGAGACGATAAGATCATTAGTCATAAGCGATGGCGTTAAGAACTTACTTTCTGGAACGTATCATTCTATCGCAGCTTCTTCGGCGTGTCCTTAGTTTTGGCTATTGAAATGGTAGTTTTGCAAAGTACTTAGGCGAAGTTATTTGGATGCATACGTGTCACATTGCTTTACACCGTAATCAGCAATTGCTTTTGCGTTGTTGATCATTTGTGAATGGCAGATGGACTGAGCAAATTAATAATCGGCGCCGTATCGACTGGTTTAAAATTAATTAGCGTAATTGTTTTGATCCTAAGAGGGCAGATGATATTCGTTTGACAACCGCGTCAATTATCCGGCACAATGGCATTATGTCGTTGTCTTACGATCAAAGGAATGTTAGCAGCACATATATACATGGCGGTTACTGTTAATGAGAAAAGACAAAATGAATGGTACCGTTTTAAGTTTCGGGAGTTGCGAGTCTTTTTTGTGCGAGTAAAATGAAGACCGCTAAAAAGCTTCTTACTGTTCTGTTTACGTTGTTGTTTCTCTGGCATGTTGCTGTTGTTAAGCAGTTTGTTTTCAAGTGACAGTTATTTTAGGTATGCGGACGAGGAACTGGCCGATTTGTCGCCGGTGTCATCGAAGAACGACTGCGATGGCCGCTGTTGCTACGTTGTAAACGATTATGACGACGCTGGCAATAGAAATTTGCCTTCTTTGTCTGCGTCCCCGTTTTCGTTGTCGCCATCCTCACCGTCTTCTCGTTCGTCTTCGACCAAAAGACCATTCGTCACCGGGTCAGCGACGCCAGGCTCTATGTCTCTGAGTTCATTCGTCGTACCGACTACACACAAGTCTCTGCCGCGATGCAGGGATTCTCCGGCAGTCGCTTCCTACTGTGGAGGAGTACCTCAGCAGCCTTACCTCATCGCTCGGCACCCATCGATGTGCTGCGATGACAGTGTCGTGTTCATGGTTAACAACCATCGTGGCCAGACTTCGTCAAATGACTCAGCATCAACCGCATCTGATTATGTTTATGAACTGTCAGACGACTTCCGCCAGAAGCAGGTCGAGGCGTTGGAACGCCGCTACGGAGGCCGCTTGGTCGCACGTCGGGCAGCGATCACGATTCAGCGTGCCTACCGTCGCTACTCGATGGCCCGCAAGTTCGCCAACCTCCGTCAAAAGAGAGGAACCGGACGTGTTGTGCACTTCTTCACTGACAGCGGTTTGCCCTCGCCATCACTAGATCAACGAAACATGAGCTTCAAAGAAAAGGCTGGTTATCAGCTGACCGAATGTGGTGGAAATTTCAGGCCATCGGGTTCCGCTGCCGTTGTTATAAATCGTGGCGAAGCCGTGCGAATACGCAACCAGCCGTTGCCATCGTCGTCTTCGTCCGTCTCTGATACAGGTACTGACCATGTGGATCGAGGTCGTGGTCCGTGCAACCAGCCGAGTGCTGCTGACTCGCCCACGTCAACTGGTCCCGGAAAAAGCACGCAATTCGGTACACATCGTCTTAAGTTGCACAGATATAACTGCGACGGCCGACAGCATCGGTCAGCACCCCTTGCCTCGATGCTGCATCCGGTTCCGCCGGAAAAGGCTCGTCCCC